GAAAAACTATGAATAAAATCAGGATTATTGTGAGGTCCTGATGAAATCGGTCATATAAAAAACATCAGATTTATGAGGGACATTTGAGTAATCGTCTACATCATTTTTTGGTATCTTTTTTCAACAGCTTTTTCCTTTTCAAGTTCAATTTAAAAGTGACACAATCTCATTCTTTTTTCTTACAGTAGTTTCGAGCCAGCAGCCTTCGAGTTACATCCGGTTAAAAAAAATATTGACAAATATACAAACACACTGGCCTTAACAACCGGCATAATTAGCATCGAAATCCATACAATTCATCCGAAATTGAATACTCGAAAATTGAACATAAATTCAATACTGATGATACTCAATTGAGGCAACCTTGGATAAGGGCTATAATTAATAATTACCGATTAATTTGTCCCATTGCCAACACCACCACGTATTTGTTAGAAAGCATCGCTTTCACGTCAACGTGCGTTTATATTTTGCGTTATTTAGTGGTGTTGATGATGATTGTGACTGCAAAAGGGTAACATATGAGCTTCTATTGAATGCATAATTAATACTGGTTACGCACAGAGTGGATGGACATCAAACACTAATAATAATCATAATAATGTGGGAGAAAAGTAAACATTTTTTGAGCAAACACCTCCGCAAGACCACTTAAAGCGAGAAAGATGTGAAACTTCTCACCCCTCCCTATAAATTAAAATGCTACGGAAAGTTTAGATTGATCTGAAACTTTCAACGTCTAGAACCAAAACAATATCGTTTATTAGGTATTGACGATGCGAGTTGGCGATGGCTTTTCAACTTTTTAATTACTTTCATAAAACTCATTCTGGACTTAGGTTTCATTTGCAGAGAAACTCGAGAGCCAATTGTTTGTCGGTAATAATAATTGCAAATATTTATAGTTTAGAAACAATGTAGAGGCAAATTGAGTTCAAGAATTTGAATCGAGAATCGCTCTTTTATTGATACCAGTTACTTGAGGTTCAGTTTTTTATTTATGGGGTGTGCAAAAATCTGCGCTATTGTGCACAACCGCTCAAACATTAGTCAATATTTTTTAACAGAAACTTGCAACCATTCGTTGCAGCCGTTGAAAAAATTATTTTTTCGGCAGTATTATTCAAATCAATAAATCAAAAGAACACCAAGAAGAAGGCTGAATAAAATCGAAAGGATTTTAAAGTTAACAAAATTTAAATTGTAGCATTAATTTCAATAAATGTTTATCATTGTCGAAAATATACGAGTTTTTGTTGATAATGTTTATACGACGGCAATTTGTTTGGCTTAAACAGAAAATAGACAACAATATCGTCATTCTTTAAATAATTTGTTTCAATTAACCAGAATGATTTTTATCGGCATTGATAATTACAAGTGAAAATACATAAGAAGAAAGCTACGAAGAATTTTGGGTAAAGCAAAACTGATTAAGGAAAAGAGTTTAAAATTAAGCAAAAATGCAATTAAATTTTTGTATATGATGTATAAGCAAGTTATTAATAAAATTCTATGCAGCGGTAATTAATCAAAACTAATTTAAAGCTCAGCAGAACGTTTCAAAAACGAACTATTATTTTTTTCCTTCCCCTCGTTTTTGAAATGAATGGTTTGTGCTTAATAAACTTGCAATCGATTGAAAGGTTTTTCAATGCCTCGAATGAAAAAAAAATGTTAACGCAATTTTTTTACTTCGTCAAAGGTTTCGCTATTCCGTAGACATCAATTGCATAAAAACCCTCTCAACTCCAAAAGTTTAATTGCGATTTTCCACTTTGAACAACCGTTTTGTACAAAATCTGTGAATTGAGTGCGCTAGACTTGGGTGGTTTGGGCTCTGCCACCTTGTTTACAATTCGCAATTTTGTCAGATTACCTGTAAGCCATTGATATGGTTATTTTGCATTCGGGAACAATTTGCCTATACACCGTTATATCCCTCTGTTTGAACAACGCATTAGGCGAATATGCAAAATATGTGTGCGTATGATAGATTGGATGAAACTGGAGCTGTTTGTGCCGTTTATTACGCTGATTTAGCAACGTTCCGAAAATGATTGTTAATTGAAGTAACGACAGAAACAATTCATGATTAGAGCCAAAAAATCCGGGTTTCCAGGTCATGGAGACTGTAAATGCTCTAAATTTAGCTAAATAAAGAGTCCGTGGATTGGCCACAGAGTTGTACTTATGTAGAGTCGCCACAAACAGAGGAAATTTTATGCAAGTGAAAGTTTAAGACAATTTCCCACTCGGTACTGGAAATATTTTTGAAGCAGAGACAAAACGTGCCAGGATTCGGAACGTCAAGCTTCTTCTACTTATCCCCCCATAATTATTAACTAGGCATTAATATCTATCAACATAATTATATAGAAACTCCTAGATATCCTGAAACAAATAGATTACCTGGATTCAATTTAGCGCTGCTCACTCAGTAAACATATTATATAAACAGGAAACTCTAAACATAACCGATTCGCATATGTATGTCGCAAAATTTCAAATCCCATCACGATTACAACTTACCTCTATTCGAATTTCGTTATAAGCCCGAGTTCCTTTGATGGCACAAAAGGTTGGCAAATAAGTTAACTCTACCACTGCCTCTGCACTCCTGTCGTGCCGCAGGCCAGACAGGTCCAAAGAAGGACCAATTTAAGGATTTGCGAAACAAATTGGCAGGATGGATGTAGAAGAGATCCATGTTGCAAAGCGGCTTTGTTGTATCAAGCGGATCTGAAAAGGAATAAATTGTTGTAAGCAACTACATCAAAGATGTATGTGTTAACTGAGTGAATTGTCGGTTATCTCAACTTGCCTCTAATTTTGTTTTCAATTCACCCCTTATATGTATGTGGAAATTAATCGTGAAAATAAAATGAAACACTGAAGAATCTGGTCTGGTAAAATACAGGCGGGAGATGAGTTGAAGTTGATTTGTTTGCTCAAAAAAACTTTGTTTAACTACAATGTATCCAGACAGGATCGAAGTTGAAGAGCAGCTAGTCCATGGCCAAAATGTAGGACAATTTGACTGCGCAACTATAAATTTACTGTTTCAATAATCTCGCAAAAACTTCTGGAAACAGTTTATTAAAATATTGGCTTTTATAAGCCTGAAGTTTAAATATGGGAGATATTATTAAGCCGCTGTAATTGTACAATAAACCGAAGAAGTTTCTATAAACATACAAAATTGAATAGTAACTTTTCCAACAAATATTAAGCGCCGTTCCAAAATTGCAAACTCAAAACCTAACGAACGTCAAATATTGTCTTTTCGGATTTACCGCGAATTACTGCCTCTGTAATTCAAACGCAAAATCGGAAGAAACTTTCAGTAATTGTCATGCAATATTGGAAAACTCTGGTTAACAATTTTGAATATACAAGTAGAGAAATTAACTGATGTTATTTAAATTTACATTGGAAATATGTTCTGTTTCAAGCAAGAAGCAACTTATATAATATATGTACAGCGTTTGTTTGATAAATACATAAAATAGTTGTTGGATTTTTTAAAGTCGATTTTAAAATTCAAATATTATAAGTTTGGCGCAAAAATCAAGAAGGTTTATGAATGTGTACTATGTTTTACTCAAAAAAGGTTTAAAAATTCAGTACACCGCATCCTACTTATACCGCTTTTATTTTTACAACGCATATTATCCCATTTTTTTTTAATTAATATATATAAATACTTTTGGAGAAAAAATCACGCAAATTGTTCACACAACTTCTTAAACCAAATTAATTACCTATTCATTTATTCTACTTATTTTCTTTACACTCTGGTATTTCCTAGTAATTTTAACCGAAAAAAAGATGGAAAGCTGAGATCACTTTTAATAGGTTTTTTTGTCAAAAAACTCATGTATGTACTTGAAGCGTCCTATCCAATACATCAACAATTGGGGAGATGACAATGTTGAGCACGTCTAAAACTCGAAAAGCCATTTCCCATTTTAAGGGAAAAATGTTTCCTAATAGAAAAGACCTGTTGCAGTAAGTTGGGCAGTCTGCCAACCCCAGGGAGATGCCTTGTGTCGCATTGTATAAAGGGGCTTGTCTAGCTCCATGAGGAAATGGAACTTGACGAAGCAAAATCTCCTCGAAATAGTATAGTCAACCGAACATGGACAATGTGCCTTTGTGGCATTTAATCAACTGTTCTTTTAAACATATGCTGTTGTAATAAACTGGAAATAGACAAAAGTTGGGGACTAATGGAACGGGCACTTATGGGGCAAAAAAGTTGGAAATTTTTAGTGTAATTGTGTGCAGTTTAAAATAGCTTCAAAAGCATATGTTACATATTAAAGTAGTTTCAAGTTTCAAGCTTTTCCATCCACCAAAAAATTACAATTGTAGATTTGATTGAATGACATCACACATAAGAAATTTCCCAGATTCCAGATAATTAGTTTATTGATGATAATCGCAAAAAAGCAGCAACATTTTTTACAGGAAAATAAAAACCAATAAAAAAAACGGAGAACCAAAAAATGTTTATCCATTGAAAGCTTTAACAAATCAAAATAAAATGCTTCATAAAACCGAAATTCCCGTTAATCAATTAACGCAACTTTTTCTTTTCATGAAATATTGGCAAATGATGGATTTTCCATTGGCCCCAAGTGATTCAATGGGGTTGAAAATATTATTGTCCTGCTTAAGCAATAACATATTTCATGGGAGTCAAACAGGTGGAAAGTATGAGTAAGAAAAGCGAGCAAAGAAAACGGCACAATTATAAAAATTACCGACCATTAGCTGAAGATTAATGATTTTCCACTTGACACGATACAGTGGTAAAGGAGCTCATAAAAATGCAAAAATAGCTGGAAAAATCTTAACGAGACCAATGAAAAATTATGGAGTTATCAAAACCGCTGTTGGGATGGCAATTCGGTTTCTTTTGGGCCAAAGTAATCTGATGAAAAAATGATTATTTAAGAAAGCAATTGTTTCCTTAAAATGGACTGTTTTTTCAGGCTTTGCTGCCACCTAAAGACTTTGCAGCATGAAGTCCATACGACCGTTCACCACTTGGATTTCCATATCTTTATTACTTTCAACCTGCTGCTTGGCCGATGAACATCACAAGCGAGTTCCATCTGGATTTACAGGAGTTAGGGGCAAAAAGTCAATACCTGATGAGGCTTATTCAGCTGATTTGGACAATAGTAACTCTATAGAACAAGTGAGTAACTTATTAAGGATCTTACTAAGGAAACTAATGAAAAAATGGACCTAATTTTGTTCACTCAAATCAAAGTTTATATTAGAACAAATTTTAATGAATAGTGAAAATACCAAATATACAAGTTTGAAAATTGCATCATCAAATTCAGGATTAACTCAGAAAACCTTAGCTTTAAAACTAAAAAAAAAGTCTTAAAGTGTAAAGAATTGCGTTTGGAAGCGGCTCGGAAATTTAAAGAGGAAAGAGGAGCAGAAAAGTGTCTTTTAAAGCAAGAATCTAACCACTCTTGATATTTTCAGCAAACCGAATATACACCGTCATCTGATACGGAAGCTCCTGCTTCCTTCAACTATATTGTAGAGAAGCGAGCACCATCAGGCTTTTTTGGAATGAGAGGCAAAAAGCCATGGAACTTTCTGCAGTCCAGTAATTATCCAGAAGAATTGTACAAACGCGCCCCCATGGGTTTTGTGGGCATGAGAGGAAAGAAAGATAGCTTGGAGGATGATGAAGTCACTTGGGGTAATTTTTATGATGAAACTTTATTGCAATAAAATTGATTTAAATAACTGGTAAAATTTCTGAGCAAAAATGAGTAAATAGAGTTTGAAAATTTAGTGTTCTGCTCTAGATGGAGGCTGGTTTGAATCAACTGTTTTCTTAAAATAGCCTTTTCGTCCACCGAAAGGGGTCGAGACGGATTATAGAAAATCACTGCTTTAGCACAATTCTACGAAAGAAAATTTTCTAACCAGAAACATGGAAAGAAGCCCAAAACTGGCACCTAAATTTCAGTGCACTTTAATAAGCCAAATAAATTACTAACTAAACCAAACATTAAAATACCGAAAATAATCTTGACAAATTCAAATCCAAGTTGCATTGTTTTTTGAGCAAAAAATTGTTGATTTTACCAATTTAACACAATCGAGCATTTATTTTCCATTTTCTTTCGCAGATGAGCCAGAAAAAAGGGCGCAAATGGGATTCTTTGGAATGCGAGGCAAAAAGTTGTGGACAGATTATCAAGGAGAGAAAAGGGCACCAATGGGATTCGTCGGAATGCGAGGTATTCCTCCACTAAAATTGTCCTATTTTACGTGAAGATTTTGGGAATTTTCAGGTAAAAAAGATTTTGAAAATCCCATCGGCTACTATGAAGACATCAAACGAGCCCCATCCGGATTCTTTGGCATGCGGGGAAAGAAACATCCTTCTGGATTTTTCGGCATGCGTGGAAAGAAATATCCGTATGAATTCAGGGGCAAATTTGTAGGAGTCAGGTATGTAAATCAGGCATTTTTGGAATAAAAATATTATTAGAGTGCGCCTACACATTTATGTAGAACGAAAGGCAAAAAATGTATTTTGGTTCAGGAACTAATTCGTTAAATTCAATACAGTTTTTTTTTAGTTTTGGAATTGAAAATTTAATTTTACCAAGCGTATTTTTAAGCTAATAAATTAGTTGGTGTTGCAGGGGCAAAAAGTCTTCGGAAATGGCAATTCCAAGCTACTACTACCAAGATTCGACAACAGATCGACTTAGTGATCCCGATTGGAATCAACTTATGTTATTATTGACTGGACGGAATGAATTCGATAGAAGTCACTAAAATGCTATTGAGTTTCCAGACGTACCCCTATTTATTTGGTGAGTTTCTTTAAAAACTTCCAATTGCTTTAATAGCAGAATAAGTTTTTTAGGTTTTGACCGTTCTTGGAAAATTACTTGTTTCCCATCGTCCTAGAAAACTACCTATTCTATTAACAATAGTCGATTATTCTACTTGCGAGTGTGGTTGAAGATTGCATAACAATTTACCTATGTATACTTACAATAAATACATATTTTTACCTCTAATGTTATTATTCCAAATATCAGATTTGTTTGCTACACCAATTTAGATATTTCTAAATAGGCTGGATAAATCGAGGCATTTTCGATAATTGCAATGTTTAAATTTATGATTGTAAAACCTCGATATTAAATATGGAAATATCTAAATTGCAGCTTGGCAGCGGTTCAGTCAATTCAATTGTCCATCATTTATTATGGTCCTCACTCTAACTGAAACCCCGTATCATCAACCAAATGGCTCAGAAAACGTATATGTATTTCTTTTATGGAAATTATATCAATTTATTCGAACAAAAAGTGTATAAAAATTCTTTCGGATTTTAACGCTAAATGACTCTTGACTTGACTTGATCAATAAATGCGTATTATTTCAATCTTCAACATATTGTGATTCGAGATTGTATTAAATATATAGCAATTATATTACATATCACTGCAGTATTTTCAATTGAATTGTCAAATTGTGACTGTTCAGTTTACTTCATTTGATTTAATCCGCTAAGCAAAAAATGCAGTTCGTGATTTTTGTTCTTCAAAATCTTGATGTATTAACAAAATGGTCAATAAAGGTTTATAAATAATTATTTAACGTGTCCATCATTATGTATACGTTAGATTTGGAAATAAGTATGCGGTATGCTCGAAGATGGCAGGCAAATGTTAAGATTAAATAACTTGTCGGGACTTTTTTCGGCTGGAAATTGTTTCCAGCAGTGAGCCCGAACAAATTATCAAATATGGGATTGTAATATAGTTAAATAAAATAAGCTAATTTCAGATTTAGAATATAAAATGTAGGTACTTAGTTCTAAGATTTGACTATATTCTGTTAAAACCTAATAGAAGATAAATAAATTATAATAGTGTTTGAAGGAGCACTTTCAGTACGATTTATTCAACAAATTACTTTCCCAATTGTCCAATGAAATTGCCCAGTCATCAATTTTTTAAATTATATTTTAATCAAGCGTTATTTCTGGCTGCTTCTATCAACTTGCTTTTAGTGTTTCACGTTATTTTTAATTCTGATCCATAGATGAAGACAAGTATGTTCTAATCTGTCTGATCAACACCACACTAGCGCATATATTCTAACTGACTCCTTGCTTAAATGAAATGCGCAAGTCAGTTTGAGGTTACGTTAATTTAAAACAAAATTTCTATTTACCAACAGGGGTATGTATTAGGGATCTGAATCAAACTCGAACATTACATAGATTCGAAGTTCTATTTGAATCGAAACGCCGCAGATATAGCTGGCGTTTCGATAGAAGCTGCTACTTGAGAAGTGACGGATAGAGTTCGCCATAGAACCGATGAGCCGTTGCCATCTTTCGGCGTTTGGTTTAACTAAAAGTGCTTATTTGTGACCTCTCTGTTTCTCTATGAAAACTACGAAAGTTAAATGGTGCCAAAACTGCATCAGTCCTATTTTTAGTTGAAAATCCTTGGGCACGCCCAATAAGAGTTAAAAAGAATCTGTGAGCACGCCACTGGTTGGCACATGACATTTTGGGAAAGTTCTCGATTTCAACACTAGTAGTGGAAAGGGAAAAGCCATTTCGGGTTTTGTTTGTCATTCTTTCTTAACTTTGTGTGGAAATTTTCCGATTGTGATTGTGATTGCTTGATTTAAAGTGCAAAGAAGCCTGGAAATCAGACGTGTACCTGTCTAGAATGCCGGTGAGGGTGGATCCCACATTGCCTCCACCCGCCAATTCCAAACAGCCTGGAATAACCAAAAGTTTATTGTATAATGGATCCAAATTTCAGGGTTTCCAGAAAAGTAAAGGAAATTCATACGAAGTCGAGGTGGTTTTACAGGTAAATGGCACCGTTCAACCTTTTTCATTTCAATTTGCAAACGTTTGAACCGCGCTCGAAATTTAAAGCACAAATATAGGTTATCGGAACAGTGACAGGCCTAACCTATATTCAAGGGGATCTTAATAATAAATATCGAATAATTGCCTCAAATGCCGCATTTATCAGCAATGACAATAGTTTGGCTGATCATCTTCCCACTTTATATACACTATGGAAAAGTTTCAACTCGAAAAAACGCTCAAAACACGTACTACACCTGTAGGATTTACACAAAATGGGATTGTCTGAGGCGAAGTCCTCTAAATCATGTTCAGGAGCAGTTCAGCTGTTTCAAGCAGTGTTCAAGGAGCTTAAAATTGCTGTTTAAAACCTGTTGTATTTAGAGGTCTTTATTTTATTAGCAATTGTCAAGGACATCAGGCCTTGGCATGTCTGGCTAAAATGTGCTCACCTATTAGATAATATTTTTCTTAACAACTTTTCTTAGTTATGTTTTTGGCCAAAATATGGTTTTCAATCCCTTTTCGCTTATAGAAAGTCACTACTTTTCCATGAGATAAAGGATGATGACATGACCCCCATGACATGATTTTGCATCAAATTTTTGATGACTATTAAAATTCCTAATTTTACTTATTGGCGAGTGTTGGCAGTTTCTGAGACTTTGAAACAAAGAACAAAATGTGCAGAAATGGATCTAAACGAATCCAAATACGTGCGAAAAGTGTGTATTGTAGAAAAGGCAAATACGGAAAATGTTCCAACCTGACGAACAAGATGGAAAAGTTGTGAATTTCGATGCGCGAAAAATGGTCGAAAACCGCATTGTCGCTAAAAACACCACTAGAAAAGTTGTTTCTAAGAATATTATCTCTTCGGTTCAGCCCCTCGTAGTAATCCGACACTATAAAATTAGCAGTTTCAAATGCGACGAACGTATAAACCGGAAAAATACACTTGTTTACTTGATTTTGGCAATCCGACCCTGTGATCCAACCTATACTTACTAATAGGTAGAATTCCTTGATCAAAAATGCCATTTATCGTAATTAAGAAAAATCAAACTTACCCAAAACACAAAAAAAAACAAATCCAAATCCGTCACTTTTGCATCATCACTAGCCCTAAGAAACTTTTTGTTGTTTCACATTGCTAATACCCGAATAATGCTGCTCCGAATCAATAATTTAGAATCATCAGCCAATAATGAACGCTCATTCTAAAACCCTTGTCTATTTCCATAGAATGTAGATGAAGAAAACTCGTACCTTTGCGGATATCTTCAAATCAATGGCTTAACTGAAGAATACCCCAAACTTACCACATTCTTCGATGGGGAAATCATCAGTCAAAAGTATCCGTTTTTGACCAGGAAGTGGGATGCTGATGAGGAAGTCGATAGGAAACATTGGGTACGCAGCACTTTCAAAAATACTTACTCACATACTCACTTACTCACTTACATACATACTCAAAAATACGGTTGTTTTGAATTGTAGGGCAAATTCTCGCAGTTTAATCAGTACGTAAAGACTTTCAATTCGGATAACTTTGACTATACCCAACTGGGTGATGCGGATTATGTGTTTATGCGGTGGAAAGAGCACTTTCTGGTACCAGATCACACGATTCGAGATATCAGCGGCGCCTCGTTTGCTGGGTTTTATTACATATGCTTCCAGAAATCCAAAGCCACTATAGAAGGATATTACTACCATAGAAGTTCGGAATGGTAAGTACCTCTATTTATTATGATTGCTTAGTTTGTTGCCACGTACATAAACGCTTATTGTGGGTGTATATCCGGCTCGTTGCTGAACTTTATTGTGGATATTAAAGGCGAAAGCAAACCTGTGAAAGTACTCATTTTGGCGTCTTGATAATCGATATCGAATTATATATGTTGGAATTTCCAGTATAAGGACAAATTAATTTCACTTTTGCCACGGAGTAAAATACAGATTGAAAATTTATGCGGAAAAAGCAGTCGTTTTTGCCTGGTAAGCGGTGTTGGTGTTCACAATTGGGCTCAAATCTGAGGTGGAAAATGTTCTCTAAATCAACCAATCTCATCGTGGCATATCAAGAGACAACATTATTCGTCTTCATCTTCCAACACTAAAAATTATTAGAATTATTACTCTTGGGCTATTAGGGAAAGTTAATTTATGTTGCACTTCCAGGTATCAATCGTTAAATCTAACACACGTGCCTGAAAACTCCATACAAATATACGAGTTTAGGTAAGAGTTCCAATGTACAGATGATGAAACCAACGGGGGTATGTACCTTACAATAAAATTGCTGTCTTTAGTCGATTAACATATACGTCGCTTTACATTTTCCTTTACATTGGAATTTATAAAGCGACTGGCCGTTTAGTTTTTTAAATTATTGTTGTTATCTCGAGAACTGGGGTTGCCTCTTAATACCTAAGTCATTATTTATCAAGTTTATATTCTATTTTTCATATCTTTAGTCGTATTCTGGAACACGTGAATGTGTCTCATTTGATTTTTTTATGTTAAATAGCTTTAATATAGGGTTGTTAAAATTGTATTAAATTGAAATGTGTGATACTAAGGCAGAGGAAAATTAATTAAGATTTATTCACGGTTTCAGTCTCAAATATTCAGTTGTTCAGTTTCCAAACAGATCACTTTTTGCGATTTTGTTATTGAAGCCAAATTGTTAGTGTTTATCATTACAAACTGATTTGAATTAGTGCGCACCAGTAAGGTTCAAGTTTGCTACAAACTCACAATATTCTGAGAAATATAATTTGTTTTATTGTAAATAATTATAAATAAAAAAGATTGATTTTTGTATTACAGAAAAGTACCTAGTTTCATTGAAAAGGCTGATTGTACGCTTCATTTTACAAGGTATGAATGAGGTTTTCCCGATGTTTAATTTATTTAGCGGTATATTTTTTTACATGAAGCGATTGTTTGATATTATTTTTGTATCTTTGTGTAAACAGCAACTTATTTTTCGTCAGTTTTATATACATTTTGTTTGGATAAAAGCGAAAATGACAAAAATAAAGTTTTTTTCACTTTTACGGAAAGACTTTTTTATTAGTGTTTATCCAAGTGCGGTGCATATCTTCAAAAACTAATCGGTGCTTCAGAGCAGGATCAATAACATGGGAATAAAAAAACAATCGTCATTAAAAAATTATTTTTTAATGAATAGGATTTTATAAATATGTTATATTCTAATATGTGGTTTCGTATATACATACAAAGTGCCCTTCAAAAGTCCACAAAATCACCAGGAATTGTTAGTGCAGCTAATTACTTTCGGTAACTTGATGGGCACTAAATTCAGAAAGTTTGCTCTATTTATAAACCTTGTAGGTTTTACAATACTCACCAGCAGTGGCGAAGGCTAATTCTAATATAGTTATTCTGTACAAGAACTAAAACGTTCTTAAATTACAAATTGAAATGGTATTTATTCTGATAATCATGTAAAGCCAGATTGTTTGGCTGATTGGCTCAATTAGAAATTTACCCCAAAACTAAAATATCCTAAGCAGGACATTTCCAATACAGTGTATCTTCAGAGTTAATCGGTGAAATTAATATTACAAATGCAGTAAATAAATCTCGTGATACGCATGACTACAGGCTAAGTATACAAGTTTTAAAAAATGGTTATAAAAAATATCACAGAAATTAAACGCCTAAAGTTTAAAAATCATAGAACATGATGGTAGATTCATTTGCGATCGCGAGTATCACAAACGTATTTTTGATGCGATTGCTAATTAAAAGGCAGTGAAAAGCAGGTCAATTGCTTGTTAGTATTATTTCTGGCTCAGTCTTAATGACTTAGTAGGTTTTAATTTTCGTCAGTTTCCCTATGATAACTTAAAAAAAATGATATCTAGTACACTGATAGGCATGCGTTGTTTACATGCAAAATGAGATTTTAAATGGTTGAACCTGTTTGCCCATCAGTGCAGTTCTAAAGCGTAGTAAGTTAATGTGTATGAAAATGGCAATTAAACCAATTGTTTCAAATCAAATCGGACGATTTTCGTTATTGCACAGCG